TGGTTGCCCCCGTCTCAGGGGCAGGCTTCCCAGTGGCGGAGCACATGTTCCCTACACTTTGGGCTTAATGGGTTGACTTGTTCTGCTCAGTGAAATGCGGACACCGTAAACGAGGCTGCATGATATGGTCCCGCCCTCTTGCTGAGACCCTCTAATACATGAACAGTGTATCCCGAAGTGCTGCCCTTCTTTCAACCTATGTTCTGGAATGAGAACAAATGTTGAAGCAAGCCAAGCTTGACAGCCGTGACAGCGGCTTCCAGGCCAGGCAGTGAGGAAATCTGCTTCCGGAGGCAGTAAAACTGACCCACGTTGTAGGAAGCAAAATCTTTGGTGGAATGAACTAGGAGAGAATATTTCTGTGCCCAGAGGTTTTGGGAAAGAGTGTCAGTAGTAAGACTTATTAGCTATGTTCAATTTAAAAAGAAATTTTAAAGATAAATTCAAAAAAGAATTTGCTGAAGGAAGTAGGTATGAAAAGTTTTTTAGAAAGAATCCAAAAATTGGGGGACTTGAAGAATTCAGTTGCCACTCTTTCAGCCTGGCCTCTAGATGAAGATGCCACACACAGGCACACGAGGCCCATGACCTTCCTACTTGAGGACACACGGAAACACTGCGGCTGTCCCAGCTTCACTGTGGTCAAAGTGGATTAATGTGCTCGGATGGCCGGTTGGAGGCTCTGAAGAGTCCGTGTGACAATAAATGCAGCTCATGTCGAGGTAAGCCATGGTGATATCACTGAGACTGCACGGTTCACAAATGATGTAACGCGTCTACTGGTCATTATCAACTAGAGTCTGGTATGTATTCAGGACAGTAAGGTGGGTAAGAGTGGTGAGACAACTGGTTTTCTAGCAAACTCTACCATGAGAAATGTCCAGAATGAGGCTTTTAGCTTCACCCAAGGCATGAGAAAAGATTGAGGGTCATGAAGTCTTTGGGGCCTTTAACTTTTGCACCATCTAATTTGATAAAACGGAAGTAATAATAATGGTAGTAGTAAAGGTTTCGGAGAATAAGTATTGTGGTTATTCATACAAACTTTGGAGCTAGTGTCCTCAATTAGAATCCTAGTCTACTTCTTTTTTAAGAGAAACTTGTTATTAAAATTTAATTTTCTTTAAATATATACCTTTCTCCCAGCTCACCTGTTCTCCGGAGGAACAGAAATCCCCACCCCTGCGTGCATGAGACTCCACATATACAGCCTGATACAGCGAGGATGAAGCGTAAAAATACTAGTTACCAAAGGGAAGAAGGTAGCTGTTGCTACCTTCACTTTCAGACACCCCCACCCCCCGTCACTACAGGACCCTTTTACTCCTTAAACAAGTGCACGGGAATTCACTTGAGTGCGGAGGACCTGGATGTACGTCCAAACCCCAACACCACCACTTATTTCTCTGTGACGTTCTCCTTTATTTCTTGGCCAAGTTTCATGAGTTCGTATCTTAGTTTGTGTCTGTCAGATCTCACCTATGAGCCTCGTTACAAGGATTAAAAGTAAACACTTCTTAAAGCACTTAGTGTGAGCACATGAGAAGCCGTCAGAAAGTGCTAGCTGTATGACACCTGCTGTCGAATGAGGCTTCAAGGTTATACAAGAACAGGCACCACAGTACTGGCCGCCATTTCCTGTATTAATGCTAAGTGATAATAAAGTGCTTGTCATATCTGATAGACAATCGAATCTAGCACTGCACAATACGAAGATTCTTCAAACAGAAAAGCAATAAGAGTGACAGCTCTGTCTGCACATTCTTATCCAGGATCCAGAGCGGCAATGGAGTAAAGTCTGATAACTGAGTGAAATTCAGCTTCAAAGGGTGTATGAATACATGTTTCCACAACGGAATAATGCTAACACTTTTTCGCTGCACAGGATTCCAATGGAACACACTTCTGGAAATATGAGGTGGATACTGTTTGTTACGTTTCCCCCAGATTTTATATGTACGACAACAGCAAAAAGTATGAATCTGTGTGTGTGTGCACACCCACCTAAAAAGAGAAAGGCAGAGAATTATATTTTCACTTAAATACATTTGAAGATGCATATTTAAAAACAGTCCTAAGTACTTGTTTATTAAACTCTACTATAGCAATCTATGAAAAATAACTTGATTTTAATTTCTTGCACTTATTTTCCAAGAAATCCTAGAGTTCTATTTGATTTTTTTTAAGAGATTTAGTTTGTTATTAACCAAATTTTAAGTAAAGTAGCTCCATCACACCAGACACTGGTCCATCAGAGGACCAACTTTGATTTAAAAAAATGTGACTTTACTCATAATCTAAAATTTGGGGAGGATGAAGGGATCATCCTATCCAACTCCTGCAATTTAGAAATAAGAAAACTAATATTAAGATGGTAAGTAACTCTTTCAGGCTCAGCCAGATATTTACTGGCAAAGCAAGAGCTACAGTCAAGCTCTCTGTATTTCTAGCACAGTGCTCCTCTGGCTGTGATGCTTGCTGGTGGATCTTTAGAGCTGTCACTAGAAGCTATCTAATTCAAACTAAACGGGAACCCCACACGTCTGTGTTGGTACTCTGATTCACACAAAATCTTTTCCAACATATAAGCTAAAACAAAACTTCCACCTACTCTAGAAAATTACTTAACTTTTGTAATTCATAATTATATAAATTGTTTTCAGGTATCTTTTCCCTGTAAAGCACATGTCTCTATAAAACTCAAGTGTTCCTTAGATTATTTTTATTAGAAATTAAATAGCTTGGATTTAGTCGAGTTGAAGTATTAAATATTAATTGTTCTTTTTCATCAAGATTTCATTAGAGTTGCAGATCTAGAATGAACTAAGGTCAGACAGCTGGCAAGACTGCAGGATATTTTGCATCATGAAGAACTAAAGTAACCACCCTCTGGGTTCTGAATAATCTCATAAGCACTAAAGTTCAAATAAAAATAGGGAGAACATCCCCCTTGATCATAATGGTTAATGGCTCATATTTCTTCTACTGGAACACTAAATTTTGGTTGGATTGGGGAAAAAAAAAGGCTTGTCACCTTGCATGGTTTAAAAGTCAAAGGCTGTCAATATAAAACGAAAAAAAATTAAACTATTAAAAAAGAGACTTGCAGAAAGAACAGAGCCTTCAAATTATTACTAGACAGCCATAGCAAAGTTAGGTGTAGAATGCTGTGGAGAATGTATGTGAAATGTCAGCCACACCCTGCATCGGGGTGTGCGGCGAGACTGTTCCCAACTAGCATGCAATGAGCCCGCTGCCTCTCAGCTGGGAGCTAAGACCTTCCACGAACCAGAAGAATTCTCGGACACAGGATGAAAGATACAGAAATGACATATGCATTCAACCTTCGCACTCCCCCAAAACCTCACTAAAATGGCGCTGAAATTTTGCCTTGTTTTGTTTTTATAAATCAACCAACCCACAGGTTAAAGGAGAAAAGCAGAACAAGAAAAAAGAGCAAGGAGATACGGAAGGCTGGCTACCAGGAAAGCCAAGAAGCACCTCCGTGGGTACCAGTGAGCACCCGCATGGCCCATGAAGTGGGAGCAGGCCCGCTGTGCAACCGGTCTACAGGACCACAGGTTAGAAGACTTCAGGAAGACTTAATGGATCAAACATGCATGTTTGAGTATTTTGAGATTTATACAACCCAAGATGCGTGTGTGATTTCCTTACTACAAATCACAGATAGTCTGATAGCATGTTCAATCTAGGAAAAATAAAATACGCATTTGTCCTAGAACATGAATACACCATTGCTAGTGGACAATTCCTAGCTTTTGTCCACCTTCAGTTCCTCTGTCAGGCCAACCTTCATCTGGGATATCACGTGTATTATCTTTGACATAGTGTGGGGACACTATTTTTCAACAGCCCTTGCCCCAGGAGTGTGCTCTCGACCCAAGTCTGGGCCAAGCAAATTCTTCATCCCTAGAATGAAGGAATGGTGTGAGGAAAAGATTGCAAAGGATCAGGGTCAGTCATTTATGCAGCAGCAATCATGCCAAGACCATCAAATAGGCCTGCAAATGGGGTTCCCTAGGATTTCTGCCTTTTAGAATCTAGTTCTTTAGCCTTTCCTGGGACCCTGTGAACTCCCTATATCCTGATACACTCTACAGACGATCCCAGATCTGACCCTGTTGCTCACCATCAGGCTCTAACTGATGTGGTGGAATTTATTCTTGAAAAGTAAGCATTTGATTTGAACAAACTTTATACCTCACAGATTCATCAGACATCATAGCCATAAAGGACCTTATAGTTCATTGAGCTTAATCTTTTCTTATAACACATGAAAAATATTAAAGTTGAGATCAAGAGACTAGAAGCTTTTTCCAGCATTATACAGTCGGTAAGTGGCGATGTTTAGAATAAAGTCAAGACCTAGCAATACCAATTCCAGTTTCACTATCTGGATTTTTTTCAAATTACTTTTATTTTTACAATACCTCTAGTTCCTGGAAGTGGAGCTGCTATCCAGTAGCCCAAATGTGGTGCATCATATGTCCAAATTAAGTGATTATTATCTGTCTTGACTGTCCCCCGGCCATGATTTATCCAAGCACCTAAAAAGGCAAGTAAAAAATACCAGTTAGTTTATGTCTTTAATGCTGATGGGAATTTGCTGATAGTCATGTAGAGAATACTTTGCAGGACTCTTTCAAAGATTATGAAAACTCTGGCAATATATCATCATGGATAATATATATTATATCATAATACAGTTCAGAGTGGGGTGCCTGGGGAGCTCAGTCAGTTGAGTGTCCAACTCTTGGTTTCGGCTCAGGATATGATCTCAGCTTCGTGAGATCAAGCCCCACGCCGGGCTCTGCACTCAGTGTGGAGTCTACTTGGGATTCTCTCTCTCCCTCTTCCTCTCTCTCTCCCCCATTCGCATGTGTCCCTTCTCTTCCTAAAGAAGTAAAATCTTTAAAATATATTTATAGTGCATATTACAGTGATATATACAATAGAAAGCACACATATTTAGGGAAATCATGACTCCAAATAATGTTTAAATTGTGCGTACTGAGATATGGGAAGGATGTGAATAGTGAAATCCAAATTTATCCGTAGGTGGTTCTTTGCCACCTGTTCAAGGAGTCTGATTAAATACTTATGTATGGTTTTTGGCCTTATTAATTTTTTTTATTAAATACTGCTTTGGTCTAGTACTGTTGGCATGGCTCTTTTAGAACCAGATCTTTAAGAATATTTTTAAAATGCTATCTGATCTGGGGCGCCTGGGTGACTGGGTCAGATAAGCTTCCTACTCTTGATCTCAGCTCAATCTTGATCTCAGGGTTGTGAGTTCAAGCCCTGTACTGGGCCAGTGTGGAGCCTACTTAAAAAAGGATAAATAAATAAATAAATAAATAAATAAATAAAATGCTATCCGATCTATAAAATGCCATCCATAAAACAAATAATTCAGTAAAGCTCTTTTTATGAAGATCTTTTATAAAGTTGAGTATAACAGAACTTTTTATAAATTCACTGTATATTTGTACTTGGTTTGTTAATCCACTGTAATGATAGACCTACAACATGTAAAGGTTTGGTTTTTTTTTTTAGATTTTATTTATTTTTTGACAGAGAGAGAGACTGTGTGTGCACAAGTAGGCAGAGCAGCTGGCAGAGGGAGAGGGAGAAGCAGGCCCTTCACTGAGCAGGGACCCGATGTGGGGTTTGATCCCAGGACCTGAGCCAGAGGCAGCCTTGTAATGAACTAAGTCACCCAGGCGCCGCTAAAACAGTGTTTTTAATAAGGTAGACCAGCTTGATGGAAATGGATCAAATTACTATGTTTTAAATAGTCGCATTAAAATTAGGCATTACTTATCTGATCTATGAATTGAAAAGTTTTGTTACTGGAAGGCACATTAGCGACAAAGGCCTTTGAGGGGATGAACAATCAGAAATCAGAACTCAACACAGATGTCCTTTGAAATGTTTTAAAACAACGCTTTTTTCAACAAAGTAGGCAATCCAGGCCCAAATAAGTGATTTGTTCGAATTCCACAGCTTTTCAATGGACTAGACTCCAGGGCTTAGCGCTTTCAAGCCAACAACTACAACAGATTTGGTTCGGTCTCCGTCCCGTCCTGGCATAGAGCTCCTTGGGTCTTTGCAGTTTCCTAAGGGATAAAGGCGGGAAGAGTGCTTCTTGCTGTTCCTGACAACCCACTTTCAACCACCCCGACTTTGTGTTAATGAGGTGATATTCTGGAAAGTCCCGTGGACGGCTGGCTGCCAGGGAACCCACGCTGTGGTCAGAGGGCTGGAGCTCCACCGCGCACCCCCCTTTGGAGCAGGAAGACGGGCTGGAGAGGAAGCTCTGCCACCGCGGGTCCGTGACCACACAGCACGTCCACACCACGAAACGTCCCTGAACTGAAGGGTTCCGAAGGGAAGTCGGCAAAGACATCGAGGTGGTGGCAGGGTGCTGTACCCACAGGAGAGGACACCCTTTATAATACACTGGTAATCCAGGACATGAACTTTTCCTGTGAGCCCCCCCGGTTAAAGTCTACTGAAAAGAAAGACTTTTCCCGAGTAGTAGCTGCCCGAGCTCTTGGGTTAATGGAGTTCTGTGGGCAGCTCTGCAGCTGGGGAGATGGCCACGGGGGTCTCCCACTCACCACAGGCCAGTCAGAAGCACGGGTGACACCCGGGACCTGCACTTAGCCTCTGAGGTGGGGGCCAGGGGCAGTCTTATGGGACAGAGTCCTAACCCGTGGGATCTGAGGCTCATGCCAGATAGACAGTGTCTAAATTGAACAGAATTTTAGGACACCCAGCTGGTAGAGAACTGCTGAGTGTGAGAAAAACAACCCTCTCCCTGCCCCCCACCCCCAACACTTGGAGACCAGAAGCAAAGTAGTGAGTGTAGAACTGCATTGAGACGAGACTTCGTTCCCTTACAACTGTCTTGTATACTTATTAGTTTCCACTTTTTCTTAAAAACACGTATCTATTATTGTTTATTTCTTATGGTGACATTTATTTTGTTGTTGTTTTGTTTTGCCTAACTACCCTTCTAATTACAGCGAAATCGTATTTTAAGTCTCCTTTGAAGGTTGATGGCTCCCTATTTTCCATCCACAGGATTAGCTGCGGCTCAAACACAGAACCTTAAGCCTAAAAATATCCGTACTTTTTTTTTTTTTTAATAAATCTGTACATTCTATTTGCAGACCACAAATGTTGGTTCTGAAACGGGCACAAAAACTCCATTCTACAATCGCAGTGAATCCAAGAGTTCATGCAATTGGTACTAGGGAAAAAAAAAATCTTTCTTTTCATTAGACTTTAGGCATCAAGTCTGAGCACCTACATCCTTCTTGCCACTCTGAAGGCAAATCTTACCACACAACGGTGTTAACGCAGGAGAAACAGACAAGAGAAATCCTGTGAAACTGTGCAGGCTCTGTGTCCGGACTCACACAAAACAATTATGGATCATATCCCTTCTTTTGTTTGGTTTGTTTTGCAACTTAAGAGACTCTCATCTTATTTACATGGAAGCACAAGAACAAAACCAAGGGAAGCAGAGGAGGAAAACATGCATCTACTTAGGAGGCTAAACTCAGGGACCAAAATTGGTATCTGAGTTTTCTGTTTTGGGATTTTTTTTTTTAAATAATCACTCTATATTTTAATAACACAATGTTATTTATTTTCATGAAATAAACAGACATTTCTAAATTGCCTTAACCAACCTTTTAAATACAAGTTCATATTGCCTATCAAAACAAAAGTCTATTAAGAGTAGAAATAATTTTTTAAAAATGTATTTCTACTTTTCTATTCAAGATCTTGGGGGATATAAAACAGGCATTGGAGAGGTAGCTTGCTGGCTTAGTCAGTAGAGCACAGGATCCTTTTTTCCCCCTTTTTCTGAGAGAGAGAGACCGTGAGGTGGGGGGAGGGAGAAGCAGACTCCCTGTCGCGTTGGGAGCCCCACATGGGACTTGATGCTGAGCCCACTGAGCCACCAGGTGCCGAAGGACATGACTCTTGATCTTGGGCTTGTGAGTTTAAGCCCCATGTTGGGCACAGAGTTTTAAAAAAAACGGGCAAGGGAATGTGAATAAATAATGCTATTTTTTAATATAATATATTTGCATCATTTTCCCCATATTTGTATTATACTAATCGCAGTGAGGCCAATTTTAGTCATTTTAAAGTACTTATAACAGTAACATATGTGCTCTACTAAAGATAAAACATTCAAATATAAATGATGTATTTCAATGTTTTAAACAAGACAACTTAATTATTTTGTAGTAAACATAAAAATTTGCCAACTATACCTCAGTAAAGCTAAAAAAAATTTAATAGTAATATAGAAACATTTTTTCTAAGATCAAACATTCAAACATTCAAAAGGAACATATTCAAAATATTTTCACCCAGCTCACATACCTGTGCTCATATCAAATGTCCAGGCAGGTATATGATCCCCTGCACTTAGATCATTCGTATGTAGAAGGGGGAGAGAAACTTGAATAGAACCATCCACTTTTAATTCTTTCCCTCCAGAATATATTTTCACACATATTGCGGCAAGAGGAGTCAATTCAACACTTTCAAAACCTAAAAAAGACGGTTTATTAAAATCATATGTAAAATACGGGTTGTAGTTACAAATTAATAAAATAGGTGGCTAAAATATTTAATTCCTTTATTCACCTACAGTTATCCATTTTAATATCAATAGATACTGGATCGTTATTAGAGAATTTAAAATATAAACGCAGATTATACTTATATAACTTGACAAATCGCTATGAGCCTAGAGACCTAATTCTTCCAGAGTCATGTGATTTTAAGGTCACCGGAATCTAATTCAGCGTTTTAAAAACCTATGAAACAACAACAAAAATACATCTCACTAGTGTCCTACCCAAATAAAGGTTCTATCATACCACAACATCAATGCAGATATGGGTCTAAAACTTGGTCTCTCCTGCTCCCAAAACCATCTGTTTCAAGTACTAGGACAACAGAGTTGGTTATACTCCTTAAAATCACCTTGTGTAAAAAACATCCTGACTCAAATGCAAATTTTTTTAACCTTTTATTTATTTATTTGACAGAGATCACAAGTAGGCAGAGAGGCAGGCAGAGAGAGGGGGAAGCAGGCTCCCCGCTGAGCAGAGAGCCCGATGCGATGCGGGGCTCGAGCCCAGGACCCTGGGATCATGACCTGAGCCAAAGGCTGAAGCTTAACCCACTGAGCCACCCAGGCGCTCCTCAAAATGCAAATTTTGATAGGTTTGACAAACATGAAAGAAAATCAGCAATATTGTTAGCTGATTAAAGCTATTGTTAGCTGATTAAAGCTTAAAGGTAATAAGCTTTAATATACATTTGACTAATAACATAATTGAAAGAATATAAACTTAGACTAAATATTAGTATTAAAATATTACTTAGATTTCAAAGCTTGAAAAGTAGGAAAAGGAGATGAATAGAATTGGTTACAGTGTTTTGCCTAAGGTTTTAAAGTATGATTATACATATAATTTATAACATGCCTTAAATATCAGGAGCTACCCACATTTCTCTATCACTGAGGGGAAAAGAGTAGAAAATGCATTTGTTTTCTTTTTTAAATATTAGCAATGTCAAAGTAATAATAGACACCAGAATAGGTATAATGAATAAAGTAATATGGTTAACGATGTTACAATTTAATGTAAATTTTCTATAAAGAATTAGATAATTTTAGATTTCCCAAGTACATTTACTAATACATTAGGAAGAGTTGACTAAAGTATATTCATTACATATTATTTGCTCTTCATGGATAAACTTGAACCTTCAGCTTAAAAGCTAGAGTTTTGTTCATTCATTTAGCAAATATTTATAACAGGGCCCCAGGAACACCCCATGCTCATCTTGTTCCAGAAATGCAGTGGGTGCATGAGCTCTTACACTGGCTTGCAATACATTTTTCACCATCCTCATTACTATCAAAAAGGCTTTTTTGCATTTCTTTGCCCATTGTCATTCCAGCCGCCCCATTCGAATGTAAGTGTGTGGTAGAAGATACCTTACTGGGTCTTTGAAGAAAATCTGGAAAGACAACGTAAGTGCAAGGTCATAAAAGCTGCCTCTCTGAGGAGGGGATGTGTGAGCTGTGGCCCAATGCTAAGGGGCCATCCATGCAAAGACCAGAAGGTGAAAGCCCCCAATCAGAAGTGATCTTGGCATGTGCAAGAGAGGAAGAAGGCTGATAGGCAGAGAGGTAGAAATAGCAGAAGGCCTCTAAGTCCGTGGAAAGGAATTCTCATTATCCCTTCTACTACACCTGGTGTATACCTTCAGTTATCAGACCGAGCAACTATTGGCTTAATGAAAAACTTCCATTAAATGTAAGAGAATTAGCCTTTGTAAACTTCCTAAAACACTAATCATAAGATGAGCAAAGTAATGCCATACATATTTTATAGACTAGTTAGACTAGTTACACAAGTCAAAATCCAATGTAAGCCCAAAGAAATTACCATGTAATCTGTTGGTAATCATAATCTTTTATCAAACTATTTGATAAAACCCACTGGCTTTCTGAGGTGAGTGCTTTCAACTCCGTCCCCGCCCCCCCAGTTCTGTGCAGTAAGTGGCTTCACCTACTAAATGCGGGTGAAGCTGATGAGATCAGCCCCGCCACCACCACTTGGGATAAGGCCGATTCAAAGAAGGGAAAGAGACTCGTACAGGGACAAGGACTAAAAGACAATGAGAAGGAGGCAACTTGAAAAAACACTTCCATACTCCTAGAACTCTAGAACTAAGCAATCCAATAAAGTAGCCACCAGCAACATGTGGCAACTTAAATTTAAAGGAAATCAGTGTAGTTCTCCGGTGCACTAGTCATACGTCAGGAGCCTTAACAGGCACACGCAGCTAGTAGCTACCATGTTGGATAGAGCAGAAGAACCTTCCCATTTGACAGCCCTGCTCTACAACTAAAATGTTAGCAGCATTCTCATGATAACTGAAACATTAAGGGCATAATCCCAAAAGCAGGTGGCAGAGGAAGGCTGGAGGGGAGTGTGTACGGTGTCTCCTTCTCACTGAACCTGGTGAGTCTCATCCACAAACTCTCTCCCGTGCAACACGAGCTTCGTCTGGGAAATGGCAGACTGCTCTCCTTCTTGCAAATGCTTTTATTTTGAGCAGCCTCTAACGTGCGTTGGAGCAACTTTGGCAGGTGTCTTAGATTGGCTTCTTCAGGAAGCTGATGCTAAGGTAACAGTTTGGAAGGAAGTACCCGTCACTGAGGAGACGGAGGAGTATGGAGAAGAAGGAAGGGAGCCGAAAGGGGGTACACTAAGGAACAGATATGTGCTCCCTCTGTACTCTTGTCTACCAGTCGAGAGCTTGCCCTTGTGAGGGCCACCCCAGCTTGCTGGACTAGGGGATGCCCTCAGGCAGACGCACAGGTGTGCATGGGAGGAAACACAGGCCTGTAAGAGAACAGTGAGGGTCATCTTGCTGGAGTAGTACGACAGCAGGCAAGAAAAAACAAAGAACAAAAACATCTACATGTCTATTACTCTAATTTCTGGTTGTTCCCCCAAATGAAGTGGACCAAAATTTGACACAACTGAAGTCATCAGAAATACAGATTGTCAGAGGTGATTTTTAAAAAGTCGTGAGTCGGTTATATGTTGCGGTAAGTGGCAGAACTGGTGGCACGCATGTGGAGGTTTAGAGGAAAGAGATTTTTAGGGGGTTTATTCATGGCTGTATTAAATGTAAAATTCCATCATCCTCTTACCTTTTAGGTCACGACAGCCATGCATACATATATGCTGTCAAATCTGGGATACAGCTGACCCTTGAGCAACATGGGGCTTGAGAACAGAGCAGGCCCATTTATATGGACTGTTTTTGATAAACACAGTACTATGAATGTATTTTCTCTTATGATTTTCTCAACAGCTTCCTTTCTCTAGCTTAGTGTAAGAATACAGTATACAACACATACACAAGGTAAGTTTTAATGGACTGTTACCGGTAAGGCTTCTGGTCAACACTAGGCTCTTAGTAGTTAAGTGTTTGGAGAATCAAAACTTATACAAGTTTTAACGTGGGGGAGGGGACAATCCCTGTATTGTTCAAAGGTCAACAGAATATATTTTTTAAATATTTATTTATAATTTTACTCATAGGAAATACCAAGTATATTTTATAAGAAAAACTTCTAATTGTTTACTCTAAACCATAAACTTTATGTCTAATAATTATTCATAATTAATTTGATAAGATTGGATAGAAGATCAAATTATAAAATATGTGTAAGCTTAAATCAAATTTTTGCTTTTAAATATATTTCTTAACTTGTAAAGTTATATAAAATATGACTATGTAAAAATTAGATAATACCTGATTTATGGAGAGTAATTCCAGTTGTATAGAGGAAGTTGTCCACCTTCAAAAACTGCTGTAGAACCGTGAGATAGCCTGTCACATTGCTAACGTGATGGTTGTTGGGTAGCTGAATTAAGGTTTTTGAAAACTGAACACTTGGCTGAGATTTGGCATCTGGAAAAGGGAAACCTCATTAACAAACAGACAAAACAAATGCACATTAAGCAGAGCCTCATCCCTCAGACACTTTAACATCTCATAATTATTATTTTAAATTCAAAACTGAAATAGATAAGAAATCTCAATTTCTTTAGATCACACAAGGCACCTGTACCCTAGAAACTGCTTGATTCTTCTGTCCAGAATTTCTTCACCCTTTTCTTGGTTCACTCCAGGGAACCACATACCATTTTAGTCCATACAGTTCACTTGGGTTTCATTTCTGTAACAGGAGTAGAGGTAATGGCGCATCCAAAGTGGGCTAGAGCCGATCAAAATGTTAGGCATCCAGTTCATAAATGTCATCTCATGTCACTAACTGTGAACGGACTATTCTTTAATATAACTTAGGGAGTGAGAACTCAGAATATTGATACTTCTGTAATTAATGCATTTTTAACAATCCAAGGATCAACTCTTAAATCATTAAAACTTATCAAAAACATCAACTATTGCTTTGACTTTAAGGCCACTGATAAAGACAGAAGCAATCAGTTAAATTATTAGAATTCTGAAAGTACCAGTTTCTAAATAGTTACAGGACAATACATGATAAATGTAATACAGTTCTCAAAATCAGTGTATAGTTTACATATGAAGCTAGAAAAATAATACCTGGAAATATGGGATATAAAAACAACACATTTATTATATTCTTTTTTGGTTAAATCATTAAATTTAATAGTTAATCACTTAAATGATTAACTCTGATCACTTAACAGATACTATCTACACCTTACTTTCTAAAAATATGTGTCGTGAATTTCACAGTAACAGAGGCTAATTGAGACATGAAAACTGAATGCAATACCTAACCCTAAAATGGAGTGAGAAAAAAAAAAAATGTGTCAGTGGACGAGACAGGAATTTGGAAGGTAAGTTACCCTATCAAAATAATTTTGCCGAACTGTGACTTGGCCATTTAATATCCCTATTAGGAATTGCATGCTTAAGAATTTAGAGGTAAAAGGCCGTGATACTTGTAACTTACCTTCAAATGGGTCAGGAAAAAAAAAACCGAAAAAACAAACAAAAACAAAAACAAAAGGCAAACACAGAGCACAATTATACATAGTAAAGCAAATGGAACAGTGTTATCAGTAGATTAACCTGAGTGGAAGGTATACAGCGGTTACTTGTTTCTTATTCTTCCAACTTTTCTATATTTTGAAATTATTTCTGAATTGGAAGTTATTTCCAAATACAAAGTTAAAAACTTAAACAAATATATGTGCCTTTATTATGTTGAAGCCCCAAATTTCTTACAGTTGAAAACATGTACACTAAGTAAAATGTCTGGCTGAGCTCCTCTAGGGTTTTGTACATTTCTGAAGTTTCCAATTTCTCCTGCAAACCTAACACATTTTTGTTGTACAAACCATACACCCTTCTGATCAAATCCTGGAAGAAAAAATATACATTTTATGGAAGCTGAGAAGTGAGGATGGGTATTCTCCAAGGAAGGATTTAACATCTGCAGAAACATCCATCCCTTCCTCATTAGCCCTATCAATGGCTCAATTCTTAGGGAAAAGAGGCAGTAAAAGGAAATGATCAGAGACCTCAAGAGAGCTCCGGGTTCTCATGGAGATGCACCAAGACGTAGCCAGTATTTTCCAGACAAATGAGCGTTCATGTCACTTGGTAAAATGCAAAGGAGCAGGACATGGACGTTTGCGCTAATCCATTTCATACATGGTTCCGTCTTTGCTGTGGTTGGTAGAGCGAAACTGAACCCGACCTAAATAAGGCTTCTTGTGGGATGTGCAGGTGGGGTGAATCCCATCTGCTGAGGAAAGAACGTACCTGGTCTCAGGCCCTTCCCTGCTCAGGCAGCAGGTTTCATGCCAGAGGCAGGGATGAACGTGCCCACAAATCAGAGAATCCTAAAGTTTTCCCAATTTCACTAACTGTGTAAAAGCCCAGAGAGAGACACGATTTGGAAAGAGGCTGAGACTCTCTCTGCAACACTTCCAGAAGTCAGATATTCCTACGCGGGCAGGGGTGGAGGCGGCGGGGGTGTGAAAATGGTGAAGAATGAGGCCCATCCGCAAACCCCGTCCCGCAGTCGCACAGCGACCTAAGAATCCGTTCAGATCCACTTAGAGCTAATCATTCCCGAGCAACGCAGGCTTTTTTCCAAGTGATGACCAACACTGATTCACTAGTGAAGTGCAATTACCTAATTAAAGTGATTGTTATTACTTGGCATTTTTACTTACGAGCTGAGAAGCGTGGTACTTACCAGCTAATTTTCCAGTAATTAAAACAGTGTCTTCAAATAGCCATATATTTGCTTGGCTTTGCGGGAACAGCGAAAGTGTAACTGATGAATATACTGTGGAATACAGCACAATTACAGTATTTTACTAAATGTGGGGGGAAACTAGGTAAATATTGTCTATTCCAGCAGTCCCTAAAAAGTGGAGGTGGGGGGGTCGGGAAACTGCAGAAACAAGGAAAAATAAATGTAAAGAATGATGGAGGGAGAAAATAGAGGATACAATAAAGTGAGGGAAAAAAGGTCAGGCATCGCTATTTTATTTTACTAATCCTATTTCCAGTAGTTCGTACCAAAGTGACTAATGATGTTCTCTAACCCCAGATATATACAGTCAGGTTAGATGCTTGAATAACCATGAAAACCCTCTGCTATTTTCTCTATATAACGGTTACTTGTTACTTCTTCCTAATGATTTAAAAAAATTCTGGCTCCACCATGCAAGGGTCTCTAAGCGAGCCCACATCCTCTGCTCATTTGCCTCCTAGACTCCCTGCATCAGGGCACGACGCTCCTCACCGCACAGCACGGTTTGCCAGACTCTGAGCTGGCAGAGCAGGAGAACAGCTGAACACGTAATGGAACAAATGATCCGCAGGCACCTATGGGCAGTGATGCAGGAGGGGCCAGGCCTGCCTGCGAGCGCAGACGCCCTCAGTAACTGATGGGACACGTGCAGAGGACCTGAAAGGTAACCACATTATTGCAAGATCCGGAGAAGCAGGAACAAAAGACAGTTTTATAAGCAGGAACAGACTCACTTTAAGTGAGTTCTCATTTGATAGCTCTCCCCTACCCAGTATCAATATTTGAAATTAATAGAAATAACATAATATCCCCAAATCAGTTAGGATAAAACAGATTTGCATGGGAATACTTTTCATGTTTTAAGATATTTCAAAGAGCTGTAAAGGGAATAGAAAAAAAGGATAAAACACAAAAAGATATGAATGAATATAAAATGAAATATACCTTTTTCCTACAATAGGAAAAGACTACCCGATGAAAGTGTAATTTCAATTCAGAATACATTAATAGACTAATTAATGGCTTTATTAAATCGGAGAAAATGTTAGGGGAGTGGCTTGGACCTTGAGATGATACAATTAGGGCACTAGTCTTTCAGTCACAGGTAGCGTAAAATGGGGGCAGTCCTGACAACTTAAGGTTATAAAACCTGAGGAGAATCTTCTGGACCTCAGTAAACCTTACATGTAGACTTCCTTTCCCTGACAGAATGTTTCTCATTATAAAAGGGATTAATAGCCGCTCGGGCAAAGTGGAGAAATGAAGAAGAAAGTGATGGTCATCACAATCCCAGCAGAGACAGTGACTATTAATAGTTCAGTATAATCTTCCTGGATTTTCTCCTGTGATTTTCTTAAAAACAGTACAATATTGTATACAGAATATTTTTACTCTGCTTTTTCACTTAAGGTAACATCACAAGCATTTCTGTCCCTCAGTAGAAACTTTTTCTAACATTTTCAAGGTCACATACTTTCTTTCTTGAAGTATCAAGACTTACTGAATCACTATACTAATATATACTTAGATTGTTTTCATTTTCCCTATTATTGCCAAAAATATCTGAATCAACACTCTTGTGTATGAATGCCTGTAGCTTCAGTTACTTGTCTCTCTGTTTTCAGGGCAGATTCCGAGCACTGGAACACTGGGCAAAGGTTATGAAGGTTCTGAGGACTTTGGACACACACATTTCAGTTGTTTTGCTGACGTCCACTCCCCCAGCCGCGTCTGAGAACGCTCATCACACCTCACTCTGTCGACACTGAGAAGACCCTTTTCCCAAACTCTTGTAGGGTGAAGAATCTAAGACGTGCGAGTGTCTTTGGTGTACAAATCTGAGACTATGAGTAAGATAAAACATTTTGCCATGTTTTGTGACAAATCATCAGTTCTTCTCATTTTGAAAACTGCCAGGTTGTAATTTTATCCACTTATCTTGTTTAGCCAGGGCCTCGGTGTCTTCTAACTAATTTACATGAATTATTAGCACATTAAGAATATTCGTCCTAGGGGCACCTGGGTGGCTCCATCGGTTAAGCGTCTGATTCTTGGTTTTGGCTCAGGTCATGATCGCAGGGTTGTGAGACTGAATCCTGTGTTGGGCTCTGTGCTCAATACAGAGTCTCCTTGAGAGTCTCTGCCCCTCCCTCTGACCCTCCCCCTCCTTGTGCTCTCTCTCTCGCTCACCCTCTCAAATCTTTAAAAAATATATTACTTTTTATTGTCTCATATTTTTCTATTTCTTGAGATATATGGCATATAATTTATTAGCTTCAGTTGTACAACATAATGATTCAATATTTGTATATATTGCAAAATGATGACCACAATGAGTTAACATCCACCACCACACAGAGTTACATCTTTCCCTGTGATGAGAACTTTGAAGATCTACTCTCAGCAACTTTCAAATATGCAATACAGTATTATTAACTATAGTCACCATGCTATATGGTACCTTTTTTAAAAATAGTGATATCTACTTTTTATGACCTCTTTCATTAATTTTAATTTTAAGCAGACCATCCTAATGAAAAAGAAAATCAGATAGTTTTTTAAAAAATTTTCTTCTATTTAATAGGATTTGATTTTCCACATTTGAACTCTATGAGCAATGTATTTGGAATATGAATCCAAATTCGCTTATTCCAGATAGTTAACCAAAACGTCCTAACACTACTTACTGAATATTCGGCCTTGTCTCACTGATTTATAATGGTACCTTATCATAGATTACATTTTCTTATGCATGCTAGTGTCTGATTTGTACCACAGTATCAGAGAGTTTTAATTGTGTAGGTACATAATGTTTTAGTTATTTGAAATGGCAAATTGCCTCCAATAAATATTCTTTTAAAATGATTTCCAGGTATTTTTATACATTTATTTTCTGAGGATTATTCTTCCAATTTTTCTAAAGATTTTATTTATTTATTTGACAGACAGAGATCACAAGCAGGCAGAGAGGCAGGCAGAGAGAGAGGAGGAAGCAGGCTCCCCGCTGAGCAGAGAGCCTGACGCAGGGCTCGATCCCAGGACCCTGAGATCATGACCTGAGCCAAAGGCAGAGGCTTAACCCACTGAGCCAGCCAGGTACCCCCATTTTTTAAAATTGTATTAAATCTATAAATCAGAAAGAACTGAAATCTTTACAATATTCAGACTTTCTAAAGAAATATAATGTTTTGCCATTTACCTAGGGTTTTAGTTTTCAGGTTTCTTTTTTTTTTTTTTTAAGGTCTATCAGTAACATTTGGTAGTTTTATTTTCCCTAATACATGGTTATTTAACACTTTTTCTTAGGTTTCCCTGCATATTTTGTTTGTCCTTGTTGTTCTGAGAGGGATTTCATTATTTTCCATAAATGCGGACTACTTCTGGTAGATATGAATATATACTGATTTGTACCAATGCTTATTCCACACTCAGTAATTCTGTCAAGTTCCATTAATTCCATTAATTTTAAACATTTTAAGATTCACGCTTTGTCATTTTTCCAGGGATATGATGATAACTGGAAATAGTAAATATTTTGATTCTTTCTTTTAATAGCTTGTCTCCTTCTCTGGTCTGTTGATATATTTTTGCTCTGATAAGAACTTCTATAATGTAAAATAATATGGACATCGGTGTTCACTTTCTTATTTTAGTAGAATCACCTCTTATTTTTTATAGTTAGTATGATTTTGAGATATTTACCATGTTGAGATCTTTGTGGTCCTAGTTTTTTAATGGACCTTGTTCTTAGTTAGGTACAGATGGTGAACTTATAAAATGCATTTCAGACAGTTTTTGATGTTATCATCTGGTAGTTCTAATGTGTTATGATATGTAAAATTAACAGAGTGACACATTTGATATCCTTATAATCCTGCAAAGAAGAAAAATGGTCTTCTCTGGTCTTAACAGAAAGCTGTATTTAAATAATGGTGAAATTCTTTTTTACTATTCTGTTAAGGATTTTTTTATTTAGAGTTGTAAGATTGGTCTATAGAGAAGTATTTGTGAGTGAGAAAGAGAGAGAGAGAGAGAGCGTGCACATATGAGAGCATTTAGTCTGCATTATCTTCGTCAGGTCTCCGAATTAAAGCTGCACTGGTTTTACAAAATTTTGATTTGGAGTACTTTTTTAAAATAGCCTTTGAATTAAGCTATTTTTACTCGGAACATTTTATCCATGGCTATTAGTCTACCTCATCTAAAATCAACAAAGTCATTTATAGTATCACAAAATTGTTTATTAGACTTTTTAAGATTAGGGCCATCAAATTTGATCTAGAACATTTTTATGATCTTTAAGATTTTATATATTTTTTCTTCTTTTACTTGCCTGTTTAGGTTTGCCGATGCATTCGTAATTTTATTTCAAGGAACCAGCATTTTGTCAATTAGCTCTTCTTTATATTTTTTAATTAACGTTCATCTACTTTCATCTTTATTTCCTTTTTCCCATTTACTTTTGGTTTCTTTCATTATTCTTCTAACTTTCATTTAGTGAATAATTGTGCTTGATTTATCTTTAAAAGAACTAAAGCATATAATGCCATGAAGTCACCTCAGACATATCCTTCTTCAGATTTGAGTTGTGATTTTTTGTATTTCATTTACGTGAATCTTGGTTTATCTAATTAATTTTTCATTTCTTTCTCATTCTAAACTTGCACAATGGTTCAAGAATTCAAATGTTTCCCACATGAAAGCAAATAAGTATGTAAATTCTAATAAGAACCATCACAATTAAAAGAAAGAAGACTGACGACCTAATGTGTCACACCTGCAATCCGCCGGACTTGCGTTCTGCTACCTGGTATGGCCTGTACTTTCCCAAATCCAGTTAGTCACACTAAGTCCTATCAATTCTTATTTTTTCCCCTCAGATTTATTGAGATATAATTCTCATGACTGTGTGAGTTTAAGGTGTGCGTGATGTTTTGATCTGGGTGTACACTGTGAAGTGATCGCGCAGTAATTACCAATTCTGTCCTCCGTCTGCCTCTGGTCCTGCCCTTCTTTTCACGCCCTCTCTGGCCTCAGGCTGTTCTTACCACCACCAGGAGCACAACCACAGCTTGGTAGCGAGGCTCCCAGAATGCATTTTAGCCCTGCTTTTGGCCTAAACATCATACACTGTTAAAGTAAGTTCAGTTTCCAGAACAATTACAGTTAAGGTACTGGAGAATCTGTAGTAACTGCCTTATTGTTCGGCACATAAATCTGACTTTCTGTCTCCTCTTTTAGAGCATCCTTTCCTCAACCGGCCCACACTGCTTCTGGCTCACCCACCAGGGCAGGCCAAGCCCCCCTCTAACCCCTGCAGATCAGGTTTGTACCTGAGCAGAGCTCTTGCTTCAAGCCTCTGTAGGAAAACTAAATAAGAGCAAGTTTTCTCCAAACTGGCACTCACTCCAACCTCTCTGTATTGACTTCACGTAGGCTCTTCTCATTTTCAGTTTACCAGAACAAGAGTCCCAAAGAAGAAAAAAACGAAAAACAAGCAAACAAAACCATTTACATTTAGTAAAGGCACAACACTGCGCATGTGCTTACTTGGCATTTTTCCCGTCTTCCAAGGCAGAGGTGTCAACACGTAGCCATCTTTGTAGGCAATAACGGTTAAGCTGAGCCCCAACGTGTAGGGCACTTTTATCAACACTGCGCCATTGTTCTTCGTGACTGTGGAGTTTGTCTTCGTGTAGTTTACAAACACTTCTACAACAGCTTGACTCAGGTCCTGCCGACTGATGATGTCATTCACCTGGACTTTCAGCATAAATACAGACACTGAAGGAGAAAAAAGCCAGAAATGGTAGCAGGTTAGACCCTGGAACGTATAAGATGCTATACTTTAAAATGTCATTCAAGATATGTGCATAACAGTACAAAACTGCTGGTAGAATCTGGAAACACATATGTGTGAGGTATAAAGAAAGAGGTATGAAAACATTCCAACAAGCTCATTATTCTTTCTAAAACTGAATAAATTTGAATTTATTGTTAATAAGACAGTATTCTAATTTCTTCTGCCAATAAAAAAAAGGAAAAGGAGGCAGCGGATAAGGGGAAGAGAGTGGTTCTCTCTTCAGAAAAACACATTTTTACTTGGCCTCCCTAATCCTAATGCTATCAATTAACGAACTGAAAATGTAGTCCGAGTTGCTGCAATGAAATGCAATCTCACCAAACTGAGTACATGGCTGGCTCCTTCATTTTGCTCTGCTGTCTGGAAAGCAAAGGATGTGTTTCAAATTACAAAATATCAAAACAACATCCTTAAAATATCAAAAAGTATTTCTGTTAAATGTATAACAAAGCACAGTAAGACAATACATTGAGGAAAATCAAAATTAACTTGTTTCCTAACTTAAACCTCCAGCTTTAAGATCTTGATGATATGTTCATGAATTTCCTAACGTTAATGTCTTGGTAAAAAAGAACTTGTATCACCATGGAAATGCCTTTGTAAAGCCTGTGTCACAACACCTTTGCCAAAGACGCCTTCTCTTGGAAGCACCATTCGTGGGCTTTGGAGTCAGTCAAGGTCAACCTCTGCCACTCCCTAGATATGTGACCTGGGGGAAGTTACTTCTCAAGTCCATTTGCTCATCTGTAAAATCAGGGGAACAGTAACTACTTTGAGGTAATAAAATGAAATCATACAGATAATGTGCTCAGGACAGTGGCGGCTGTCACTTAATATCATTATTAATAATAAAAATCATTACTCCGTAATTGGAGACTATTTCACAAACAGAGTCGTCAGTAAAAGTCCCTCAAGAGGGAGCACCTGGGTGGCTCAGTCAGTTAGCTGTTTGACTCGGTTCCCGCTCAGGTCATGATCCCAGCATCCCCAGATGGAGCCCCACATCAGGCTCCCTGCTCACCGAGGACTCTACTTAGGCCAGAGATTCTCTTTCTCTCTCTCTCTGTCCCCCACACCCGCACACATGCGCTCTCTCTCTCTAAAGTAAGTAAATACATCTTTGTAAACACATTGCCACAAAATAAGTCCTCATGAAGTATTTTTTTAAAGATATATTTAACCCTAACCCTAAGACCCATTTTACTCGAAATTTTTAGCAAGAACAGCATATCAGGTAAAAACCGTAGTCAACATTTGGTTGAGCTGCAATATCAATTACCAAATTATTGCTACACCTTATGTATTCTGACTTTATTAATAAAACTCGACTTCAAATTGCTTTTGGACCATAACAAAGACATTTTATTTATTTATTTATTTATTTTTAAAAAGATTTTATTTCTTTGATAGACAGAGATCACAAGCAGGCAGAGAGGCAGAGAGAGAGGAGGAAGCAGGCTCCCTGCCAAGCAGAGAGCCCGATGCGGGACTCGATCCCAGGACCCTGGGAACATGACCTGAGCCGAAGGCAGCGGCTCACCCCACTGAGCCTCCCAGGCGCCCCAACAAAGACATTTTAAATACGAACAGAACTGCTGCGGTAATCACCCAGTCCTAGGAAAGATACAACCTAGCAAGCTCGGAAAGAGCTCTGTCCTTCCAAGAATCTAAAACTGCAGTCGTTATCCAAACACTGTTCTATATACAGTCAGACACAAACGTTTCTCAGAGCATATTCCCTCTCATGTATGATAACAACACGTTAATACTATACATAGTAATCATAAGCACAAGAACTAAACTATGCTGAGGATTAATGAGCCAGGCATTGTGTCAATTTTTAAGTGCATCATTCCATTTACTCTTCAAAACCCTCATTACAGAAATATCACTGTTCTCATCATCATATATATTGGTAACTGTGGGTTAAAGAAATTTTCTAATTACTCATGGCCAACCCCCAGCCGATGGAGGAAACAGGACACAAACTTGGACCTTCTCTCCTCCAAGCTTGTGCTCTTAAGCCACTGACCTGACTCAGCTCTTAAAGCAACTTTAGCCAGAGTTTAGAGAGCAGAGATGGGGAGAAACAAATTGTATCCTGAACAATCATACCTTAAAATGAGGTTCCATCAGTCTGTCTAAAAGACCGTTAACTTCCAGGACAACAATCTCATATATATTTAAATATATATATGGAGAACAGAGATCACTGGTGTTTCTCCAGCACTCTGCTTTCTCAGCATTTTTAATAACAGGCAGCCTTGTGGGAGGTTAAATTCTTGGTGAATAGTCATTACTATCATTACTTTTAATAAATAAATTTAGGATTATCAGGTACTAAAAAGCGAACTAAGCCCTGGGCTTTGGCACCTACTGTTCCTCAAATTATTTAACTATTTCCCATCATTTTATAAGTTCACCCCATTACTCTAAAGTAAAAAAAGAAAAATCATGTTTGTAACATTTAAAATAAAAATATGAAGGACTGGGGATAAACATGTTCCTAATGCAAGCCTCGCATATATATTATCACACAAATCTCCACATACCTTTGTAACATATGCGATACCAAGTTCACTTTACCAGTGAAAAAAGAGGATTCAGACGGGTAATGTGGACTGCCCCGAAGGCTCACATGTATTAGGAGGCCTCGTCAGCCTTCAACGTTCCCATGAGTGATTCCAAAGCCACCTTTACACCATATAACAGGGAGTCTTGGGATCACACTACTAAAGTTAATTCAAGGAACATGATGCTGCAATTACTGAGAAATGCTTATAAAACATCAATTAAAAAGAAAAAAAAGGGTGCTCCCCAGCACACACACACATACTAAACTATGGCCTCAAACTCAAGTGGGAAATACAACGGGGGTAAAAAAATAAAAGGTTGTAACATATGTGACATGATGGCCACCTGCACCGAACGTCCTTGAATAGGTCCACCAGTACAATCAGCTATTTACTGTGGAGGACAAGCAGCTGCCTGTTCAAATAATCCCCCGAGCCTCCCAGCTCCTAATCCCCTAGATGAAACTGACTGCGCCGCGGACACAAAGCATCCAACTAACAGGGGCCAGAAAGACGCTGTCAGGACCTCACAATGTGGCTGAAGTTACACAGAGGCTAACGGTGCCCGCTCACCGAGCTTCCCCAAGTCTCCCGTGGCTGGTCCTACAGCCCTTCCTGGTCTGTGAGCTGAACCACGATCCTTCCCCAAAGGCCCTTATTCCCCGAAGCCGGAGTCAGACTGGTTGCTTGCTTCCAAAGCAAGCACCGTAAATGATCCGCGGCACAAGTGCAGACGCAGGATGTGTTATTTAATGCGCCACTCCGTCTTTTCTAAGAGAAGATGAACGGAAGGAAGGATGATGTTATGTACCAAAAATAGGATAAGACATATGAGAAGGAGATGGCACATAACTAAAAGGGCACACAATTCTCTCAAAATTTGATAAAGGGTCTTATTCCAATGAAATATACCTACAATGGTTCCTTCAACAGCATATTTAGGAATGGGAATTTTGATTAATTCATTTGCTCCAAAGATTAATTTCAGAAATTCTCAGAGCCCTTGATTAATAGACAAATTCCAATGTGCACTAAGATCTTGAGCTAAATTCATTAAAAAACCGCGTATTCCATCTGTTTCATCCTGTAAAAATACGGTTGCCAAAGTAAGACACACTAAAGCCTCCTGACATTCTGAAGCTGGGTTTGATTAATAAATGTTTTCTAAAACATTTTCTAATTCAGAATGGATTATTTTATTTTCCACATGTAATCATTATGTTAATGACTAAATTTGATGAGAAAGTGAATATCAAATTCAGGGAAAAAGTGACTTGCAAAGGTCAGACCTTGGCTATGTGCACTGTAGACCTCGTAGCGTCAGGACAGGATGTAACCCTGACCAGCAGCGTCCTCTCTAGCTCAAACTGGAAAAAAACGAATGCTGTTGGTGACACACACACACACACACCTAGCCCAGTGCCAGAAACTTTATACATGTTGTCCAGTGTCTTCCTAATTCCAACCTGCAAGACTTATCCCGTTTTAAGTCAAGGAAACTATGACTAAAATTGCACAAATTAAGAAGGGTAGAGGCAGGATCCACAGACTGGTTCATTTGACTCCAAGTTCTATCCATTCTACTCCCCACATCTCTCACTGAAAGGCTTTAGATGCGGTTTTCGGCATATTCCAAAGCTTCCTTATTTCCTTCTGGCCAGTGCAGAGAAGGAAGTGGTTGGTTTGCTGACCCTCTGAGTCTCTTCCCCCAGCCCTCTGCCTGGTTTGTCTGGTCCCAGCATAAACAGCAAAACCAGCACCAAGGAAAACAAAAACCCAAAGTCTCAGCTGGAGGCCTGCTCACTGCAATTAAAGGCGCATGAACAATACTTCTTCTTCCAAATAAAAGGAGAAGTGATCAAGACTTGCCTGCTGGTGACTTAAATAGGACATTTCCGACTTCCATGATGTCAACAGCTGATCGGCAAACAGGCCTAGCAACCAGAAGTTCCGCATACATATAATCTCCATAACAATACCCCTTACTAGTTCTCTCCTCCAACAAAAATACTTTGGCATTTAGATGGGGCAGATTCTGTGATTAAATATATAATTTTCAACCACAGGTGCTTTTGCCTCCATAATCTGTCTACCCTTCTCCACTGCATTTTTCAGCTTTCCATGCACTTGGTATTTTCTCTGTCACTTAATTATAATCATTATGTCTTGCCCACATAATCTTCTTTTCAATATGTCACCATTAGTTTAAAAATGGTTCAATATCAAATGATTTCAACTGAGCTCTCAGAAAACACATAATCTGAATGTTGAGAGAAACAAAAACAAAATACACATCAATGAGCATGGTCCTGAGGTTGCTGGGGGAAATTTTAACTATCACATGATTA